TGGACTTTGACTTTGCCTTGGTCTTGATTAAAACAAAAAAAACTTTGACAAATATCCAGATCTCTTGAACTCATGCTTGTCAAATCTGAATCGTTTTTCTCTAAATTCCAGCAAACATACCGTTAGGTGGCTGCATTCATCTCTCATTTTGGTGCCAACTGCCTTGAATCTTATATCAGCTGACTCCAATCTCTTTATTCCATACTCAAGACAAAAGGATCTGATTTATTTTAACAACTTAACAATGTTAGTGCATACACATACTTGTGCATGATCTATTGAATGACATAGTAATTTTTTAGTCGTTGCTAAATTTTGTCATTTTAGTGCCCCCATGAAGGATGTGAGTGGGCATTCACCACAGCATACAAGTTAAAGAGGCATGCCAGAGGCCACACAGGAGAAAAACCTTTCCTGGTAAGACTGGCAAAATTTGACCGTTTTGTTTTACAGATATTCAGTGGTAGTCTTTTTGCTATTTATTTGAAAAGCTGTCTTACAATTATTTCATCGGACAACTCATAATTGTTACAGTATGAGAGAAGAATAGTTGCAGAACCAGAAAATTTCTAACAAAGAAACAGCAGTCCTGTTTCATACGTTGGACAGAGCTGCATCCCTGCAGCAGTAACCAGTACAGGCTCATGAACATCACGACAGCAGCTAGCCTGTATCATTCACTGTCTCCCTCCTGTCACCTACTACCATACCTTGCCATAAATCTCTTACCTGTCTGAGGAGAAAGGCGTATTGTGGCATGCTTTTGTTTATATTTCACAGTGTACTCATGAAGGATGTGGAAAAAGCTTTACCACTGCTTACAACTTAAAAACACATACCAGGGCACATTGCAGGACAGACTCATTCATTTGTGGTTTTGAAGGATGTGAAAAGACGTTTCCCACAGAACATAAATTAAAAGTGCATGAAAGAAAGCATGCGGCTGAATACAAACCATACCGATGTGAAGTAGAGTCATGTGGCAAGATGTTTGCTGCTTTTAGTGCTTTGACCTCACACATGAGAATTCATACAGGCGAAAAATCTCATGTATGTCCTGTAGAAGGGTGTGAGAAAAGATTTACTAAAGCATCCAAGTTAAAGTTACACCTGAGGTCACACACAGGGGAGAGACCTTTTCCTTGTGAAGTTCAGGTACAGTTTGCCTCTCACCCTAGTTGTTTGATGGGTGGGTAATACTATCCTCTGGATAAATCTTCTATTGGACATTATGTTTTGCTGTGCCTTATCTGCTGGATAGCGATTTATCTGTTGAATAGCGTTTTCTACCCTCTTTACAACTTGTTCGACTCAAGTACTCTTCTATTACTCCTGGGTTGTAGATAGTCGAGATACCAACGAATAAACCTTGAATGTGATCCTCATAACGATACAATGAATAATTTTTTAACAGTTTAAGGTGGCCCTAAATGGTATGTAATGTAGTTATGGTAACTGATTATGCCAGAAAATTATTACTGTATGTTGAGAAACGATTGAGCATTTCTTTAATCCATTTTTGAGGAAACACATGGACAATTGTTGGCTGGATCGGGAGCCACGTTTGAGCCCAATGCACTACTGTTAGGTGAACGCACCAACACTATGAATTTTTTACTCTATCCCTTTATCTCTAAAGGGTTGCGGCTGGTCATTTACCAGTGCCTACAAACTCAAGAGACATATGCGAAAACATACTGGGGAGAGACCTTTTGTGTGCAATTATGAAGGATGTGGTAAATCTTTCACAAGATCAAGTCATCTGAAGACTCACAAGCTTGTTCATACTGGAGAAAAACCTTACGTTTGCCCATTTGATGGTAAGAAATGTTTCAATGAATTCTTAAGAGAGATAGAGAAAGGTCAAGAAATAACCCATTGAATTTTTGCAAAACGGAGTCATTCTACTCGGCCTTGGACTGCATCCCCAGGCGAGGGCTTGAGACCGAGTATCTCAGCGTATAAAGTTTCGCCCTTGATATCTCAAATACCCTCTTTGCCTCGATCCATTTCTGGTAGTATTCACCATTTTCAAGACAACAGAACTTCATTACTATTTCTTGGCACTGGTATTGTTCGCCAAATTCCAAATCATTTTGTACCACAATCAATGTACCTTGTGCTCAGCTGACACCAACCTTGAAGTTCATTTGACATTTATTTCTTGTTTTAATTTGTGTTCCATGTAAAGGATGCAGCAAGGCATTCACAGCTAGCAGCAGCCTGAATGTGCACATTTGTAAACACACTGGTCAGAAGCCGTTCAAATGTAACACAGAAGGCTGCAGTAAGACATATACAACTGCTGCTAACTTAAGAGCGCACCAAAAACGGCATGGAAACAAGGCAGTAAGAGGTAAAGTGATGAGCTTTCTTTAGTTAGTAATGTAAAAATGGATGTTAGGAAACTAAGAAGAATTATTCGCAGGTTGAGATGTTTTGAGCAAAAAGCCTGAACATGAAAATAATGATCGACTTCAATAAATTATGTTTGTAAAAATAGACTTTAAGAAACGAAATTCTTGATCTTGTAATCTCGTGAGTCGTCCAAGGAACATGTTGTAGTGTGTTTGTTAAACAGAAAAAGGTGGTCTACTGCCGGCTCCAAGACCTCTTTACCTGCTAAGAGAGAGAACGTTTTCATAAAGTGGACTTATCCAGATCAACAATCACCATCCACTTAACTTTGTTTCAGCTCTCTTTTTCTCTTTTATTTTGTCTCTAAATTGGAAACGAAGGAAAACAGATCCTTGGAACTAGTTTTCCTACCGGCTGTGTTGTCTCGTTTGTCTACCTCTTATACTTGTAATACTTGTACTTATACTTGTACTACCTCTTATACTTGTAATACTTGTACTTATACTTGTACTACCTCTTATACTTGTAATACTTGTACTTATACTTGTACTACCTCTTATACTTGTAATACTTGTACTTATACTTGTACTACCTCTTATACTTGTAATACTTGTACTTATACTTGTACTACCTCTTATACTTGTAATACTTGTACTTATACTTGTACTACCTCTTATACTTGTAATACTTGTACTTATACTTGTACTACCTCTTATACTTGTAATACTTGTACTTATACTTGTACTACCTCTTATACTTGTAATGTTATTATTATCTTGCAGTTGATTTCACGGATTCGTCTCAGGGTGTTATGACAGCTGATCTCAGTGCAGTTAGTTGTGGAAGCATTTCGAGTGAAGCCGAACCTGAAGTCCTGTATACTACGATCGGCGCTTTTCATTCAAGTAATTTTAGCCTAGAGGATGCCACGAGGCTTTCATCTGTAGGAGTCCATTTACCGTCGAGCACCCTATGTGCCCTGGTTACTTCCACAGGGAACCCACTCGTCTCACCTACCACTGAGGTAGTCCTGGAAACTGAAAAGAAACATTCGGATGACGGAGAAATAAAAACAATTTCAGGAATCCAAGTACCTATTACTGTTCAACAAGAGCAGTTTGTTACTGAGGGTTTAGACAACAACTCTAAGATAGATGTGTCTGAATTTGTCGTGAGAAGCACAACTGATGATCAAGATTCTATTTCGCAGCACCCTGTCCAGGGAAGAGCTGAAATGATTGGAGGAGCAGTTTTGGAAGGAAACAAGCTCACTGGCGGGTTTGATTTGTGTATTTCCAGCATGATGAGTCATATAACAAGTGAAACAGGTCAGGAAGGATCAGGAACTACCACCAAGACTTTACGTTCTAATGACTCTAGTAAAAGATCACAAAGTCTTGATTTCAGAGACGTCCACCCTGAGGACCAGTTTGCCCCACCTGCTGTTATATTTCAGGTTTGTTATCTTTCCGTGCTATAGAAAGCAAATTTCGATTAAATATCGTAGAACCAAAACCAAAGCACTCACATCGGCAAATCAGAATAAAGAAGAAACATTTAACCAGAGGCCAGTCTAACTTCGAAGTGAAAACAAGCAAACTGCGTGAAGCGCCAGAAAATGCGGGTGACCAAGAAGCGTTTGATTTTGGTTGTGCATCTGATTGGTTGAGAGAGTGGCGCGTATTTTTGGACCAATCATAGGGCAAACTAAAGCAAAAACCAAATGTACATTAATTCCAAATCTCTTTCCAGACTGGCTCTGGCTCTGATTGATACAGCACTAAGGTTTCCTGGATTTCTATTCCCGAATATTCGTGCGGAACGCTCCAAGTGCAAATAATTATGGATAGAAAAATTTTGTTACACCTAGGTGTCCATATCAACCAGGCGGTGTGCGCACTCCGATTGCATTGCATTGTGGTAGCGTTACTTTCAATATGGCGGTAAAAGCGGTAGAAATGGGTAGAGTTTGACTGAATATTCCGTAAAAGTAAGGTCATTTCTTTTTCCTTTCCATAGCGGTAAATATAATTTGATATATTCTGAACGCGTAGAAGTATTTTTCCTGCGTATTTGTCACGTATTATATCGTTCTCAAGGACAAACGCAAGCACTGTATTTTAGCATGTAATTTGAGAGCGGTTTTCGAGCAGGTCAAATTCGTTGTACGTCGTAGTTTGAAGCCTTTCAAAGATTTGTATGGCCACTTTGATCCTTCTTCAACAGCTCTGACCAAACGCGCTCAAACGC